ATAGTAACAGTATATACAATTTGACAAAGCATTGCTCACCTATGGCTATAGAATATAAAACTTGTGATCGACTGTGGATTGATAGTTGAAGGGTTGGAAATTGTCAAAGTTAAAGCTGGCTGTTAAATAGTTGATAAAATTTAAAATAAAAAAACAAATATATATGTTAAGCAAAAGCTATAACAAGTCAGTAAAAATATAAGAGCAACTAGTATATTGCTTACACTGATTGGCAGAAGGAAATGTCTAGTAGCATCGATAAAACAATTACAATAAATTGATCACAATTTTTTTTTTTATAAATCAATCGTGTCCAATCACATTTCTCAGATTTACATTCATATTTGTAATATTGATCTACCATATTATTGATTTTTAACAATTATGACTTTTAACAATTATGATTTTTAACAATTATGCTGCTTGCATCAGACCACCAATTACATTTCTCCTGCTTGTAATTTTAGTATTTATAACAATAATACCTGCTTTGAAATTATCTGTTTTAACAATTGCTCCTTCAATAAAACAATTCTATTTTTAAACTCTAATAAATATAGCTTTAACGACTATAATTAGAGCCAAAAAGCTTTTATTGAATGCTATTTTATATATCAAATTTACATGTCAAGTAAAATTTTAACCACTGCTTGCTAAAGGCCCTTGCCACCATGACTTTAAACACATGCATGCCCTTACTGTTTTATCTAAAAGTCAGTTTTTTTTATTAATAATTAAATTTTTGTTAGTCGAAAAAACCTATCCATAGGCACACTAGTTGCAGGTATTGCTAAATAATCACATGCAATACATATCAAATGTGAAAATTGCTATTTATTTATTTTCTACTATTCCAAAATATTTGTTTTCTCTGTTATCTGAGGTAATGAAAAATATAGTGTAATTCATTTTGATTTTCTATATGCCATCACTTAAATAATTTTACCCTAACTATATTATATGTCTCTCTCATTTCAGTGGCTTCTACAGTTCTTGAATTTAATTCTCCATATTCTTGAAAAATATTGTTAACACTAGAAAATAAAAAATATTTAATATTAGCAAGTTATATTACATATAAGCATAAATACAATAAATATTTTTACTCTTTTTTATCTTTTCAATTAAAATTTCCCAGCTATTTTCAACAAAATATTCTATTTTAAATTATAGATCTAAAACAACTGCTAGTGTATAAATTTATTTGTTCTATTATAGTATTTTAAAATTTTATCCTGACATATTTTTGCTGTTTCTTTAATGTTCTAATTAATTCTATCATTGTTGATGGTATCTTCCAAATGGGCAATTAAAATATTATATAAAGGAATTGTAATAAAAAATGTTAGATATGTTGATGTTGATACCATTGTAGTTGCTTCATAAAAGTACCCGAGAAATTATGTTATTTGTTCAAATACATTCCAATTACTATCTGTAAATACATAGTTTTTTAATTCTTGGCTTGACATTGTAAGATATTCAATTGCCTACAAATATACAATAAAATGTTTAAATTATATTAAATAAATGTTAAATAATATGAAATAAACATATTGTTTTTAGCTGTATAACATGTGCAACCATGTTATATGTTGAATTCTGCCAAGTTTTTATATCTAAAATAGGTTTTAAAGTTTCTATTTGCTGATTTTTACAAGCATCATTTAATTTTTCCAGCCAATGAGGTGATAATCATATTTTTACAATCAGTTTTTGTAACTATATATAAATAAATTAATAAATATAAAAAGTTATATACTATATATATTGTATAAACTTACTTGTTTTAGATTTTCTCCTAATATATTTAATACTTCTTATATATTTAAATTAATAATATGCATGAAATATTGTAAATAGTTTTCTGTTGTATTAAAAGATATTACTTAAGTTTTACTTCACTCTTCTATCAATTTGACAAATACAACATTATTTATAGTATTATCAGTTGTAATTTTCAATATATTTAAAATTAAATAAACTGTTTTAGTCTTATATTATATTTATTTTAAATATATAAATAAATTTACTTTGTTTGAATTATAAATTTCTTTAAATATGATAAAAATATATTTTTTAATATTTTCACTTGAATAGATACCTCATCACTGTACAAAGTTTATTATTATACTCTGTATTCTCCAATATTTATTGATAAAATGAACAGTTATATTTAAAAATGTTTTCATTGAAACTGATATCCAAATATCAAGTGTAAATGAAATATAACTTTCTATTTCTTGTAACATTTTTTGAATTTTTTCTTGATTATTTAAATAATAGTTCATTATACAGATTTTAATAGAAGTAGGTGATGGTATTTTTGTATCTAGTACTAATGTTTGTATAAAAGTAAGAAAAGCTGGTTCTTGAATAACAATAAAAGATTATTAATTGATAATGATTTATTGGATATGTTTTTTTTTTCATTTTTGTTGAGTTATATGTCCACTATATATAAATACAAAAAATTAATAGTATTTTTTTTAAAAAATTTTAAAATTATTTGAAATTACATTTGGTTTAAAAAATTTGATAATTTCAGTATTGCTAGTTATTAAATTTAATTTTACTGATGAGTTTTTTTTAGATGTTTCATTAGATTAGAAGTACTGCCTCCACTATAAATATATATTGTCCTGCAATATTTACAGGTAATAAAAGTATTTAGCACAGATTATCTATGTCCCTTTTTGAGAGACAGAATTTATAGCTCTTTATTTTAATATAAACAAAAGTCAGAAAATGCTATAAATCAATAATTTGAATAATAAAGAACAATTGTGGATAGTTTTTTTATAGTTATTAATTTAAAAATTTTAAAATTTTCTAGTGAGAGATATTTGACTTTTGTCCTTGTTTCCCCTTTTAAGAACCTATCTTTATTTATAAGTAGCCTTTTTGTCCTCTTTAAAACTTGCATTCCTTGTAAAATGTTTTCATACTTTACTTCTAGAAATTGTTGAGATAACTAAAGCCAATTCTAATAGATTGCTTGTATTAGCATTTTTAATGTCGATATTGTTATAACTAGTTAAACTACTACTTTTATTGTATGCAAATTGAATACTATCAAATGAGTTTTTATATTCCATTTTTAAAATAAATAAATTAGCAAAAGCAAAGAATATGATGAAAGTAATTAAGTCATAAAATTATAATATCAAAAAAAATATTTAAAAAATCATAAAGAGAACAAATATTAGATTTTTTTTAACTTGCCTTTTATATTATTATTAAAAAAAAGCTATTTTAATTTCCCAAATAGTTGAATTTAAATGAAATTAAATAATTATATAACAATTTATATAGACTGGTTTACAGTATATCTGATTTGAATTATATCGGATTTGATATGAATCTGATTTGAATCTATTTGAATTTGATCTGAATCTGATTTGAATTTGGATTAAAAATTTAGAAATTTGATTTGATTCAATTTGTATTTGATTTACAGATCAATCAGATTCAAATCAAATTATAATTACTATCAAAAGAATTAATTTCTAATAAGAGGAAATTTTTAGTAGAAAGACATAGAGCACTTTTATTTTTATTTTTATTTTTTTTTCTTTATATATATATATTTGATATTTTTAAATATTTACCTTTTTTTTTATTTTTCCTTTCTTCTATTGTAGTTTTTTATAATCAATTTCTTGAAGAATAATAGGTAACGACAACCTGTTGACAATGATGGATAAGTTAGGAGGATCTTTATCCAAAACTTATTCCAGAGTAAAATATTGTTTTCAAGATTGCACTTAGAGGCTTAAGCTTATTTGAAAATTGAAAGCTGTTGATAAGTGAGTTGGTGTGAGATTTGATTTAGCCATGATATAATTGTTCAATGTATCTCTATCGATTTTCTTAAAGATTAATAAATACAGTATACTATATTGGCCTGACCATGGGTTTAAAAATATATATTAATTTATTTATTAATAAAAATTGATAGGCGGCGCAAGACTTTTGCGAGCTACCATATATAGTACACTGTATATAGTATATTAATTGAATATACAGTACATATAGTACAGTAAATATGTACAAATTTATAATTGGTAACATTGAAAATCACTTAAAAAGTTAGTATAACCTATTCTCGAAATATAATTCTATTGTTTAATAAATTGTTTACTTATGATTATATAGCAAGTTATTAACTTGCAATCACATAATAACTCTTTTAATTCAACTTAACTAAAGAAAAAAAAAATTTTTTTTTTTTTTTTAAAAAATAATCAATGCAATATTTAAACCGCATATGGTGTTAAAAAAAGGTTTATTATTTCTACTATATACACAATAATAGATAATATGACTATATAATCAATGATAAATACAAACAAATGTTTAACTATTAGACAGTTAAAAACTTATAACTGTTAACTATCATAGGATTTCCCTTCCGATGCTTGGAGATTAACTCGAAAAAGAAATATTCGCACATCCAACAACTTTCGTTATCTATGATAAAGATATTTACAATCACAAACTCTAGAAATTCGCAAAAAAAAAAAAAAAGATGGCGTCTGCCATTAAGATTTTTGCAGATATTTCTACATATCTGCGAAGTACAAAATGAAATCAAGTAATAAAAAAAATTGATTCCTCACGATCAATAATTTTCATAAACTATGGTACAAGATGATTTATAGTAAACGACCAACGTATTACACACTCGTCAACCTCCATCAATCTCCTGTGGTATATTTCTGAGGATTCACATCGAGATGCGTTGGAGAAAAAATATATGTATGAAAATGGTATGATGATAATAAAATGTCTAGAACGTGTTGAAAGAAGACTTCGGCGTTCAAAAAAGTATATAAACAGAAAAATAATAATATTCAATCGAATATGTATTGAGTAGAGCAATGAGTACAATGAAAAGGAAAGATAGATTAGAGATGGAGAAATTTTGATTATTTTTTTTTGGTGGGTTTTATTTATTTGATTTTTTTTTCGCTTTTCGTTTTTTCCTAATTTAGCAATTAGATACAAGCCTAGATAAAAAATGGATATGGGTTAACATGAATTACTATTGAACAATGCAGTTCGTGTGGAGTGAATAGACCTACCCCTTCTTTCGCGTACTGTTCATACACGTTGTTAAAGTCCGCCGGCAATCTGCCATATCGTTGATAAAAAGAAGACTTTAGACGACAATGTTGAAATGCCAAGAACTTGAACTTTTCGAAAAATCTATCCGGAAGTTCCCATGAATCAGGATCCAGAGGGTCGCCATAGCATTTCGTTTCGTTGATCAACAGCTCGCATAATTCATACAGGTCATAATGGCCTTGATATTGAATCATGCGAGAACGCAGGTGTAAACAAGGAATAAGATCAATGCGTGGGTCATGTTGAAATGATAAGTAAGACTCTTGTTTCTCGGTCAGTGGACGTCGGACCAATGGCTTTACCGGGACAGAAAGGTCTGTGCACCCAACAATCTTGGCCAATCTTATCAGTTGATCTACTTCTTTAGTGACATGCTGTTCCATGATACCCGGTATGACGATAAAGTTAGAGTTGGCGGAGTAAGAGTTTTTCAAATTGTCATTGATCTGTTCCACATCTCCAGAGAGAGCAAACGTCGTGTTAAATTCGTTAGAATTTGATTCAAGAAAATTAGAATGATCTTGAACAAGCGGTGGTGATACGGAAATGAAAGTATCACCACTACTATCATCAGTGGAAGTCTGTTTCGGTACAAGACGCGAAGAGACCGAATTTTGTATAAGCGACTTTATTAATTGGTCGCTCAATTTCTGATAAAATGGGTTATTGCTGAGTTGTATGGTTGAGTTTGGAGTGGGCGGTGAATTAATGGCGCTGGCGGGCGAAGATATGTTGGCGGATTTAGGTGATAATGTGATTGAATTACTGGTCGGTGATTGTAAGGTGAAGGGTACAACAGAAGTTCCGACATTATTTAAATTCAATGTGGGAACCTGCTGGAGGGTTGGAGGTTGTGACCCACTTAACCCAATAGAGGTCGCACCGGTGGGAATAACACTCAACTGATCGAAATTTCCAATATCACAATAACTTGATGGAGATATGATATTTGAAAATATGGAATTCTTAATCTTTGATGTGGCTTCGTTGTTACCATTTATGGAATTCAAAGCGCACTCAAAATTAAATGCAATATATTTTAAATAATAATTTTCGGTCTTGATTCGTTCGATCAACGAACGTAACTGTTCACGTTCACGGTGAAAATTGTTGGTCGTCTCAGTTTGCATAGCACGTAGGGATTGGATTGTATTCTCGAGCTCCTTTAGGTGACGTTCCTTTCTTTCCCTAAAAGCCCTCTGTGCAGCTCTATTTTGAGCTTTGCGCAGAGCAGGTGAAGCAGGATTAGGTTTTCGACCGGGTTTTTTTCTCAGCGTGGGCGCCGGCTGTTGTGGATGTTTGTCTTTAGTCTGCTGACTAGACGTTGGATCGTCGTCGTCGTTACTTTTGTCAACACTCGCATCGCCGGTTTCATTCATGTCGTCTTCCTCGTCTTCTTCGTATTCTTCAAGAGTGAATGTGAATTCCTCAGCCAAGGGAAGATTAGAAAGTTGTTCGCCTGAACCGCGTTTGAGAATTTTTTGGTTTGGACCTCCTAACAAAAGTTCGTCGCCCGTGAGCTTGTCAATCTTTCTTTTCAATAACTCATCAGTATTTATAGATATGGTGGTTGTCGTCATAATTAATAATCCTATTTAACCGGAATAGAAAACTCGTGAGATAATTTTTTAGTGCTGTCGAAAATGATGACGACGATGAAAAAATTTTTTTTTTTAGAAAAATTTTTTTTTTTTTTTTGAGGTAGGGTCTATTTATATTGAACTTGGTTAAATGATTTTCCATAAGTTACATTGAACTTTTATGGAATGTGTGATCAAACAAATTTGCCATTACAGCGTCATGTGACTATAAAATTAGAAGCGAATACTTAACCGAATATCCGAATAGAAAAATTCTTTATAGGAAAGTCAAGTGCTGTACTTTGTGAAATGTTACATTGAAGTTTTAGGAAAACTTCATATGAACATAAATTTAGTAGACAAAAAATTTCTGGACCAACCAGAAGCTCAACTTTTTTTTTTGCCATAATGAAATTGGTCGACCTTGTTCACTCTTGTTCCGTCTCTTCTTGCATTTTTTATATGTTACCGTGTGTAAAAGTTCGATGTGAGCAATTAAACAATAAAGTTTTAAGTTACATGATACAAATCCAAATCAAGTCATTGCTAAATACAAGACTGAAAGGGTTTAAATTTCGTCGGGGTCCAACGTAGGGGTGTTTGTTTGCTTTTTGATCAAACACTATGTCAAAGACCCACACACCATCGCGACCCACGAGCAAATCAAAATAAATATGTGACTCCTTTCTTCCTTGTGTTCTTTGTCGGCAAGCTATCCTTGCAGACTATTGGTCACGCGTTTGACATTAGTATCACCGATCTTGAAAGGGAAAGGATCGATTTAATCGAATCTCATATAAAATTGAATGAGCAATACATTCATTACACGTTGCTGAACGAATGATCGATGCTGAGCGTCAGGTTTTTTTTTTTTTTATTATTATTATTATTTAACCGCAGGGCTATTAGTTATTTTAATTTAAATAATCATTATCTTTTAAAATAAAGTTAATCGTTGTTGGTTGCACAAAAATCCATATCTGCCGTTGGACGCAGGCCATCGCGAATGCTTAACCAAATAAGTCGTGTAAGTTAACCGAATACAACACAACTTGAATATACGGAAAGGTGTTCATCGGTAAGTCCATTCAATCTTGTAAAATCCTTTTTTTCGTTTCAGACGAAGATCTTGAAGCACGAGGATAGAATAACGGCGGACATGAAGTGGCAAAGTCTTTGAATTTACCAGGAAAACCCATGGCACTGTGCATGCACTACGATCCGCCACGCACTACTCTAGAATGGCACAAACCTGTTCACAAACTGCGCATGGAAATGTGAAGAATGCATAAACTTGATTAAATCTGGAATTTGTTTCTCGAAAGGAACAAAGAATCTTGGAAAATTGCTACTGTATACGTCATCGAATTCCTTAAGCTCGTTTGTTGTCAGCATACCTTTGAATGTGCACGAACGGTATGTGCCTTCAAAAAAAGAGGCTCTGAGAAACAATGTGCAATTTAATTACTGTAAGTGCTTATCAGATCTTTTCCATTATTGTGACATGCAATGATTGCAATGATATGCAATGATATGCAATGATATGCACAGGAATGGGAGAAAGAATTATTATACGGCAACAACGGATGATTTTATTTTGCCATGTTTCTTTGTGGTTGCGAAAATTTACTCGGTTATTGCTGTTTTACGTTAGGAACGCCTATTAAGGATGGGCCATTACCTTCTGTCGAGTAGCTCACATGACCTCAAGAATAGAAACTTGATTGTCACCGCCGGTACTAAACAGATGGAGATTCGAAATTCATTTATGGCTAAATGTTTCCCCGCGGTTCTGTCCATGACGATTTATTTTTTTATTTGTTTACTATTAAAGAAAGATAAGAAATCTAAATTAAAAAGCACACCGTGCTCGTGAATCTCGTGAAATGTGCGGTTCGACGTGTCGAATAATTTGCCGCATAAGGTAATGAGAATGGCATGAAAATAATTGAGATCGAAAGTTATGCGATATCAAATGACGACCCACGATACTCTTGTATGATTTAAATTACTTCTATTGCGTATTAAATTTCGTTTATTGGAAACGGAGGATTTATTCCGAATAAACAACCATTTACAGTATGCCCGTGTTAATCTCATATAACTGTTGACTCGATTTGGACATTCCTGAGCAAGCCTTTATTGGATAATTGGTGTGAGACCATGTCTAAAAATAGCTACAGTGGCCGACATCGAATATTAAAATAGATTTAATTATTATTTGTCTAAAGGGGAATTATTTTTATTTATTATTGCTATATATAAAATATTTATGTCAGATATGGTAAAATTAAAATATAAATAAATATATTTTAAAATAAATAATATCCATTATAATATTATGAAATCATAAAATCAGATTAAAAGATAAATAATTAATTGTAAGAAATTGTTTGTGTTAAAATAATATATGATACAATTATATTAGTCAATAAAATCCAATTATTTGATATTGATTAAATTAATTAAAAAAAAAAGATAAAAATAATTATAAAAATTGAAATCAAAAAGTTTTTAATATTTGAATTTTTGTTTATTTATATTTTATTATACAAAATTTTTATATATATACAATATCATTGTTTCAAAAAAAAAAAAAAAAAAAAATGTGTTTTTTAACTTTTTTATTATAAAAAAAAAGTATAATAATTTTTTCAAGTTATTTTAAAAAAAATTAGTAAAATTTATTAATTTAAAAATATAAAATTTCTTCTAATCATTTTTTATATATTATTAAAAAATTCTTAAAAATATAAAAAGAATTTTTACTTATTATTATTATTATTATTATTATTATTATTATTTTATTAGAAGTGACAAAACTCAGTCTTATATATTAAATAATTGCACACATGTACAAAGAATTTCAAATATATATAGTACGCACCTGACTATATATATTTAAGAAAAATATCTACACAGATGTAATGTCTATTTCAATGCATTTTCAAATATAAACCCACTTTCAAGTTATTAGTCTGTCAATGTGACTTGTTACTGGAAGAAACCCTACTACTTAACTATTTATATCTATATTATCTTTCAGTAACCCTCACATATAATGCTCTATATATCCTGGGACTATAATATAAGATCCCTTTTATATCTTATCCTACTGGATATTCTTTTTATAGTGCTTATTATAATATACCTACGGAATACTCACTTGAAATCTTAGATATCTTTTTGTTCTATGGATAATCATTTTTACATGATCTATTACAGCCTACCTATAGAATAACTATATGATATCTTGGATAGATATCAATTCTTAATAGAGATTCTCTTCTAACTAATGTGTCTAAACTTCACTAAGCCCCAAAATTTATAGTGTACAAATCTTTAGCCTATCTGTAGGAGTTTATTAGAACCTATCTTGTAATAAAGTGACTTTAGCACTAAAATTGACTAAAATATTTTGTAATATTTGATTATTCTATGATCAGATGAAATTTTAACCAGAGGTGGCAATAATCATTATCATGAAGTAGATATGATCTTCCTATATTACTTAGGCTCAGGTGGTACTGCCTTGCAGTAATATCAAACTTAGAAGCAATACATAATGACTTGGAAACACTACTACTATACCATTAACCCACAAATTTTTTTTAATTATATTTACTAAAATAGTTATAATATTATTTATATATTTAAGTTTATTAATTTTTTCCACTGATCCTTTTTTTCTTAAAAAATTTTCTTTTTTCCTCTGATTCTTTTTTCTTTAAAAATTTTTTTTGATAATTTTCTTGAAAAAAAAAAGCTAACTCAATACACTTTACTTCTCAAAGATTTAAAACTTAACAATAAACTATAATATTCAGTCACTTCTCTAAAATTATTTTATCAATTAAGAGAAGTATAGACAGCATAATATTATTTTAGCTCTACTTTACTTTATTTTATAAGGAAAGAAAAATACATTTATAAGATGATTCATAGTAAACTTATGAGAATCCAATATTAACTTTTCAAGTTTTTAGCCAGGCCAGTATCAGTTTACATCTTTCTAGGTATTAGAAAGAATTTAATTAACAATAGTTCTTATTTATAAATCAGAAAAACTCAAAGTTCATAAAGCCCAGAAAGATATCAAAGGCTTTCAAGAACTAAACAGTAGAGTATCCTGATTCTATATATACCTATATAAACAACAACACAAGTTACATGAATATATACATATCAAATAAGTTAATATTAAAACAATATAGCAAGGTTCAACAAGTATCTATAAACAAATGATCTATCTTTCACAATAAAGAAGATCAACAACTATTCTGATAAACAAGCAGATCAAAATAAAAAGAATTAATAACTTATTCAAGTAAATATATTTTAAATAAAATAACAAACAAGTAATATCACAAATCTTACTAAATATAAACAAATAAAAAAAAAATAAACAAAACAATAAATCAGCAATTTATCCTTCTTTATATATGACCAATATAATAAAAAAATGAAAAATCATGCAAATTACAAAAAAGAAAAAGCCCTATATTCTTGATACAATAGTCAAAATAACTGAAAAGTATAACTAGAGAAAAGAAATATAGGCTATCCAAATTATCTTCAATACTCTCACTACACAAGACAAGTTCAATCAGATATTAGGACCAGTAGAATACACAATACTTGATAATATTCTTACAAAAATCCTAAATACAGTATAAATCAAACTATATTCATTAAAGTTGAGATTCTCAAACAGCATATCCTATATCTATAAAAATAAGGTCAAGAAAAAAAAAAAAGACCTTATAGCACCCTTCATAGAAGAAAAGTCAGACACATTT